TTGGTGTAGAGATTACTAAAAAATAAAAATCTTTAAAAAAAAAAGTGGGTTTTCTCTTTTTATTTTCTGTAAATCACGAATGAGCGTTGAATTTTATCAGATCTGGGGCGCCTGGGTGGCGCAGTCGGTTAAGCGTCCGACTTCAGCCAGGTCACGATCTCGCGGTCCGTGAGTTCGAGCCCCGCGTCGGGCTCTGGGCTGATGGCTCGGAGCCTGGAGCCTGTTTCCGATTCTGTGTCTCCCTCTCTCTCTGCCCCTCCCCCGTTCATGCTCTGTCTCTCTCTGTCCCAAAAATAAATAAACGTTGAATTTTATCAGATCTTCTTGCACCTACTGAGATTATGATGCTTTTTCTCCTTTAACCCGCTGGTAAAGCGTAGAATGTATCTTTTCTATTAATCTGTGCACTCCTGGGCAGTCCTACTTGGTCTCGATACAATGGTCTGTTATGAATATTTTGATGACTTTCTAGATCCGATTTCCTGGCTTCTCACTGGGTTATTCCCTCTGTGCTCATGGACAGGACCGGACGGTTACCCTTTTGGTACTGTCCTCCTCTGTCTTGGCAGCAGGACTTACCAAGTGCAGGAAGCAGGCTGAGTGCCCCTGCCCTCTGTGTCTTCTCCATCAGTGTGATGCTCGGCTCTCTGATCTCAGATTTTGTATTTCTCAGGGTCGGCTTTAGGGGCCACTCTCTAGGACACTGCCCACTCTAAGTTTTCCGTTCTACTGGCGCAAAATTATTCAGAACATTATGTATTTTAAAACCTTGTAGTTATAGGTGCGTACTCCTGATCACTCGTGACACCTGTCTTTTTTCTTTATCAATCTCTCCAGAATCTGCTTTACCAGACACACACCATGTTCCATTCTGGTGAACATTTCAATTGATTCTTTTAAAAAAGAGTCACTGGTTTTTGCTTTTTTCTTGGTCATTTCCTTCCTTCTCCTTTCTTGGGGTTTATTGTGTTTTTCCTAAATTTTCAAACTGTATTCCTAAGTCAGTGACCACAAGTACGTGGGATGTTCATGATCACTGAATTGTATTGTTTTAAATTTATTTTTATTCACTCATTCATTCATTGAGAGACAGGGAGAGCGAGCGAGCAAGCACCGGGGAGAGGGGCAGAGGGAGAGAGAATATTCAGCAGGCCCCATGCCCAGTGCGGAGCCTGACACGGAGCTTGATCCCACAACCCTGGGATCGTGATCTGAGCCGAAATCAAGAGTGGAACGCTCAACGGACTGAGCCATCCAGGCGCTCCTGCCCAATAACTTAAACTTTTAACAGTCATTCACATTTGCTGTGATACATCTCAAGTTAATTAATCTCTTTATCTTCCTTGTAAACAGCGCAAGGCCTTTCCAATGCCTTAACTCGGATCGGCTCGGTCCCGGGCTCCGTGAGTCCCTCCAGGGGATCAGTCCCTCCTTCCACCTGGACCATGTTAGTCACCATCGCGGTGACGGCCACGACCAGCGCTTGCTTGGATGTCGCCCCACATATTCACCGGTCTCGGCGCTCACCTTAGCCTTCTGAACCCCACCCCCGTGTCCCGAGCGCCGTTTCCACCGGCCCGGCGCACGACCTTGGCATTATTTCAGCGGGCGCCTGTGCACAGCAAACGGTCCGGCTCGGACTGCAAACGAACTGAAGCACACACACTCGCGAGTAACTGCTTCCTCGGGTGAGGACCTCCCTCAGGCCGCAAACGGGACTGCTGCTTCGGTGGCGTGTAGGCTGCTCCTCTGAAGGCGGGCTGGGCTCTGGCTGCTTCGTGGACTTCGATGTTGAAACGCTCGCAGGATGTTTTTAAAAGCCTGGACTGGGACTTCTTGGGAGTTTCACGTGCTTCGTGGATTCTGGAAAACCCTGCCTTCGTTCCCTCAAATATTGCTTCTTCCCCGTTCTTGCTAATCTTGTGTGAAACTCGTACCCCATGGGTGCTCCATTCCTGTGCCACACAACTCCCTTCCAGGCGTGAATTCTCTCCTTAGTGTGGTTATTATGCTGATTCACCTGACTGCTGGCTTCTTGCTTTTAACGGCTGTGTTTCTCATTCCTAGCTGTTCTTTTTGGTTCTTTTTCAAACATGACTTGTCTGTTCATAGAGTCTTGATATGATTTTAAAGCCGTTTCCTTCTTACCCTGGAAAAGCTCTCACCCTGAAATCAGCCTTTCAGAAGGTTTTTCAGTGAGAAAGTGTTTAAGTCCATTTCTAAATTCTAGCACTGAGATCCAACTGGCCAGGACTCTGGCTGTCCCAGTGTCTGGACGCTGTCTTTGTGAGGAGTGCAGTCCTGACAAGTTCCATTACGACTGGCGTTTCCTGACCTGGGAAGGTGCCCCAGTTCAAGCTTCTTCACTAAACGCGGCCGGTAAATCGTGTCCAGAGTAGAAAGGATAGACCAAGTCAGGTAACATCCTTTCTTCCACTTTGAATGCAATTAACTTTCAAACTATAATTATGGTCCAACGTCTCATTCGGGTTTGATTCTAAGTTTGATGTGTGTGCTGGGGCTCTTGCATATATGACATGAATCACTTCTATTATCACAGCAATTTAAAAGAAAACTTTGCCCTAGGAGGACAAGGTTCTGTAAGAGGCAACAGATACACTTGGAAACCATCAACCCTTGCGTGTAAATATCTTGAACCTATAGTCATCAGATTGCTGGCTGGTTTCCCCTAAATAAGGTATTTTGGAAAATAAATAAATGAAGGAAATCAAAGTTTCCAAGTTGCACACTGTTCACCTACCGGGCCAATCTCCCTCTAAATGAGATTTCTCTCCATCTCTCCACCTTTGCTGCAGTTGTAGGGAGTCACAGCCTGTCCCTCAACCAGCCGAGGCTGGGTTCACCTCTCTGGAACAACTCTATGGCACCTCCCCCTTTTTCCTAACCACCCTCGCCAGGGGATGTGCCCGTCAGGGAGTGCTTTTCAGAAGGTGAAAAGTTTACAGTTTCCAGCTCTGATTTCCACACAACTAGAATTAAGCTTAAAATAATACTCTAAGTAATAAAAGTAAATAAGGGAGCCAAATGGAAATTCTAAAGCTTTGTACACATGAGTAACTCGACTTACCATTCTCTTCTCTGAATGTGACAAACACATACAAAATTGAGAGTTGTATACACCCACATCTAAAATACCTCTCTTTAAAACCTGCACAGAGGTCTTTAGGGGCCCTGGTTGGCTCAGTTGGTGAAGCATCCTACTTTGGCTCAGGTCATGATCTCGTGGTTCACAGGTTCGAGCCCCGCGTCGGGCTCTGTGCTGACAGCTCGGAGCCTGGAGCCTGTTTCAGATTCTGTGTCTCCCTCGCTCTCTCTGCCCCTCCCCCACTCTTGCACCGTCTCTCAAAAATAAATAAATGTAAAGAAATTAAACCTGCACAAAGGTCTTTCTAATTAGTTTAATATTGCATGGTACCACCTCAATATGTCATCATAGGGACCAGAAAGTTCCCCTGAAAGTGGCAAAGGGGGCGGGGGTAGGGAGGAACCCAAAATCTTGTAGCAATATATGCAAATACTTGAAAGGAAAACAATTTAAAACCAGAGAACATAAAAAGTCCTTTAAGTAATGCTAGGAAAAGGCCAGCCAGATGGAAAACCTTAAAAGAGGCCAAGAGGACCATCAGCCTCAGGAGCTATACGTTTTACATAATTTATGACAGGACTGGAAACGTCCTGGGCTCCGAGGGCGTCTGAAAATAACTCCTCCTTCCCTCGGGGGAAGAGAAGTCTCCTACAATAAGAGTCTCTGTGCCTTCTGGAGCTTTTTCCAAATATATCCCTTACAAATGCTTCTTGAAAAAAAAGAAGAGGGGGGCAGGAACGCGTGGCGTAGATGATATTCTCTTCAAACTGAATGCGAAGTCTACAAAGAAAAATCCCAAAGCTCAAACCACCACATCCAGCTGGATCTCACCGCCCCTGGGCAGGTCGTCACGTGGTTCATTGACGGGGAGCCCATCACCCCTTCAAGCGTCACAGACCACAGAGCTCTCCCCACGTTATATAAGAATCACTCTTGGACGAGGTTATCCGGGCCAATCAGGGCACCGCAGAACGCACCAGGAACCGCCTGGACGAATTTTACCGTGCAAACTAAACGCACAGATTTCTTAACGTGCCCGTATTCTTCGGGAATGACCCACCGGCCAGAGGGGAACGCCACGGGCCCAGGCGCCCCCACTCCGGCCCTGGGGTCCTCCAGGACCTCGTCTCCAGCCTGGCATCACCTCCCGACATCACCTCCTGAGCCCAAGTGAACACCCCTAGGGTACCTGCCACAGGTAAGGGCTCAGCACATCTCACACGGAGCAACAGGACTTGCCACGTCTCCCCGCAGACCGCCAGGCCCCGGGGGCGCGACAGGGCCCTGGTCTCTGCCAAGTCCCAGTCGCCAAAGCCCGGGCCTGCGGACCCTGCGGGGCAGCGCCCTCCTCCACCCGTGCCCTCGGACCCCCCTTTCCACGTCCCCTGGCAGGAACCCAGCGCGCCCGGCCTGCACTCACTGTTGTACTGCACCCCTTTGGCGAAGCGCCTCTGCAGCGCCTGGTTCATGGATTGCAGCCCGGCGGGGATATTCTTGTCGCGGCCGGGAGCCTGCTCCGACCCCACCAGCTTCTTGAGCGCGGAAAACATCTTCCCGCTCCCACGTCCGAGCCCGGCGCGGCCCGCGAGCTCAGCGGCGGCGGCGACGACGGCGACCCGGCGCGGATCGCACCATGTCCCGGGTCCCGGCGGCCGGGCGCCTGCTTCGAGGGCAGCTCAGGGGCTCAGCCGCGGCGGTTCCGCTCCAGCCCCGGGGACCCCCGGCGCGGCCGCCCTCCGTCTGTCAGAACCGCCATCTTGGCGTCGGCTCGGCTGGGCGCGCGGCTACGGGGTGCCGCGAGGGCCAAGAGGGTGCGCGCATGCGCGGCGGAACGCGAGCGGAAGCGGACTTGGCCCGGCGCGCCTCTGAGGGGCGCCGCGAGTGCCCCGGCTGTGCGGCGGGATGGGGGTGTGCGCATGCGCGGGGCAGTGGGCCGGAGGTGCACGCGGAGCCACGTCAGCCGGCCGGCCGGCCTTCGGGGCGGTCCCCGGGCTCGCAGAAGGCGCTCGACACCTGTCCGCTTCCTCGCCGGACCCGTCCCCCCACCGCCGTTCACCCCCTAACCCTGGCCCCTCACCCAGCACCACACGTTTCCGCAGACTTCCCAACGTGATCCCCCCACGTCTGCGTCCCCGCAGGGTTCATTTCCGAGACTCCTCTCCCGCGGTCCCCCCCGGCAGTCCCGGAAAAATGTTTATTTGTGTAACAAAGCGCCGGCTGGGGGGCGGGGGCTGCGGGGCGGGGCAGGGGCTCCTCCTCCAGGTTACTTCTTTTTCTTGGCCACCTTGAGCCTCCCCTCGATCAGCCGCCGGGCCTGCCTCTTGATCTCGGCCCGCGAGGGGACGTAGCTGTGGTCCACGTCTGCGAACTGGAAGGTTTCTAGAAAGGAGGTCCAGGAGGAGGGCAGCTGCACTCTGCAGCCCCTCTGCTCCAGCGAACTCGCTTACAGTGCGGGCTTTGTTGGCCTGCATCCATCACCCGGCCAGCCATTAGCAATTTCTTCTTATTTTCTATCTTCCTGATGCCCTGGCGTGTGGGGTCTTACAGACCCGGGGAGAGGCTGTCCCCTCGCAGGGCTAGCCAATCCTTAGAGACAGCAGAAGCCTCGCCCGCTGGGAGCGTCTCTCCTGCAAACCGAGCGATCCAGAGCCCACACCCCCCAGCCCCCTTTCTATGTCACCCTCTCACACCAGGTCAATAATCCTCCGCCTGAATCAACCCAGGCCCAGGCACCAGACAACTGGGGACGGCCCCTACACGGCAAGCCCACTGGAATTATTCCAAAAGCCCATCCGAAGCTGTTTACCCTGCCCTCCCCTGCCTTTCCCACAGAAACCCCCATAAAGGCTCTGGCCTCGGCCTTCCCCCTGCTCCTCTCCACCGCCTCGCGGGCAGTGATGCTCCCATGTGTCAGGAAAGTTAGTAAATTCTCCTTTTGACAGCAGCAGCCTCTCCATGTCCTCACTAAGTCCCTTCCATGAATTAAAACCCCATGGGTACAAGAGACACACCTGTCTGTCCTCATAGCCCCCCTGTGCCTCTGGGCTGTCCTGGCCAGAAAGAACCATCTGCCACACGCCCCCTCCCCAATGCCGGGAGGCCTGGCCCCCAGCCCCGAGCCTGTACCTATCACATCGTCCTCCAGGTCTTCAAAGCTGATCCTCTGGTTCTGCTTCTCCTTCAGAGTTGAGGACTCCAGGGTATCCCTCACCTTTGCGTTGACCTGCAGGGCACAGGGCACTGTCAGCTCCAAGGGTACATGGGACGAATAGGCACCCCCAGCCTCGGGCTACCTCCTCGGTCCTGGACAGCGCCTGCAGTCTGTCAGCCAGGTACAGGAGCTTTCCCTCACAGCATGCCAGCTTGCTGGGCACGTCGAGGGTGTTGGAGAGCACTTCTTTCTGTAGGCCCGGAGAAGGGTCTCATCTCTACCCTGGCTTCTCCCAGGGACCCTCCGTGCAGACGGCTCCGCCCCACTGCGGCTGGTACCTGGGCTGTGGGCAGCGCAATGCCGATCAGCCGGGCGTAGAGGTTGTCAACGCCCATCTGGATGGTCAGCAGCAGCTTCTGGCTCTTGGTCATGTTGGAGGAGGCCAGCTGGAGCCTTTCTTCCTCCTCTCTCAGCATGTCCTTCATTTTCTTCTCGACAGACTTAAAGCTGTTGAGGACGGTGGGGAGCGAGGTGGCACAGAGTCGAGGGCAGGCGGCCACAGACCTGCGTCGGGTGTCGTGCTAAACTCGGGGGCTCAAGAGCTCAGCTGCGGGCACGTGGCATCGCCCGGCCGGGCCTTCGCGGCCCACCTGCCAGGCTACCCACAGGCCCGTTGGCAGCCGACACACTGGGCTCTGGGCCGGGCCCCGCCCACATGGGCTGTTCACGAGGGCCCCACCGGGTGGCCCCGGGGGAAGGCAGGGGCCTCCTGGGGTACCTGGCCGAGCTGGGCGTCTGGCGGAACTTGAGCGCGGTCTCCTCCGCTTCCAGCTTCTTCATCAGGGCCTCCAGCTGCACCCGCCGCCGCTCGCAGCCCTCCACCTGCAGCCCGAGGTTCTCTTCCGTGGTCCTCTGAGCCAGGAAGCGGCCGGCGATGTCCTGGCCGGGCCCGTGGGGAGAGAAGCAGGTGTGGGCCAGGCAGGCATGGGCCCCCCCCAGAACTGGTTTCTTCCGGGGTCCCCCCCCCAGCGGTCAGGAACAATGCTGACCGCGGCCAGGCACTGGGTGAAGCGCTTTATGTGAGGCCCCGTGTGTCGCTCACAGCACGAGCAGAGAGGGCAGACAGCCCAAGGCAGAGGCAAGGAGATCACCCCTGAGAGACTGCCGGGGGCTCTGAGCCACTCGTCCAAAGTCAGGGCCGTGGATGGGAGCTAAGCTTACTAATAATAAAGCCAGATCGGATTAAACGGAAGGGCCAGGCAGTGTCAGCCTCTCATTGTGGTCCTGGCAGTTTAGGAAGGGACAGGATCGTAGGTGAAGGTCTCGGCATTTGGATCCTCCCTCCAGTCCCAGCGGGTCCTGTGTGGCCCTTGGAGTGTGGCTCGGATGTGCCAACCCTGTCCCGGCGTGCTCTCTACTCTCAGCCGTGAAGCCACGGCTCTGTGCCCACGTTCATTCAAGAGGTACCCGCGGCAGGCTTTGGGCTGGGGCGGGGGCCCCCTTCCTTCCACCCACACCCCAGGAGTGCCAGGGGGCAGTACCCAGAGGTGGGAGCATTGCACAGCCATCTGCACTTTCTCCACCAAAGCAGTCACGTCTGTCCGGTATTGGATATCAGCCTGGGAGGTCTCTCTTTTCCTCACTGGGCAGAGCAGAGGGGAAGGGTGGCCAGCATGCAGGAGGGTCACGGGAGCTTTGCCCGAGGCCATCAGACATCTCCTTGCGTGCCCAGCTGAGCGGGTGGCTGTCGGAGTTCCCTGCATTTTGCCCTGCTCCCCCCGCCCCCTCAGCTGGCCCTTCAGGGACGCCCCAGGGCAGCTCCATCCGGCGGGTGCCTGGCACGGGTGCTTCCTGGCACTTCTCAGAGGCAGCACGGGGACCCGGGGGGCTTGACACCACCCTTCTGAGGAATCACTGGGTGGTCGAGCCTTGGGGAGCCAGGGGACCGCACCGTTAAGTGCATTTCACAGCTGAGAAACTGGGGACTCGAGCACACTCAGCAGCAAGCCCAAGGTTGGGAGCAGTGCCTTGCAGAGTGGGCCGTGGCTGCTGGCACTCAGCCTCTGCAGGTTAGTGGGGACGGGCAGGGGCCCGTCTGTCTCCCTCGCCCCAGCAGCCCTCGCAGAGACCTGAGTCCCTGCCGGCCTTTTGGGACCCTGGCTGGGGGCGGGCAGAGAGCTGAGCGGGTTACCTTTCAGGTTACCTTTCACGGTTTCTGCACCCGTGAGACTGGAGGGGAAGTCCAAGTCCCGCCGGCCCTGGGAGGAGGGGGAGGAGGGGATGAGCGACGTCTTCTGCGGGGGCGGGGCCTCCGGCCGCCGTGCGGTCCCAGGGTCCTGCAGGGACTCACCCTGCGGAACTTCTCGGTGGTCTCCTTCGTGTGGATCTTGTCGATCAGCTTCTGCTGGTTGAGCCGGTTCTCCCGTGCCCTGCGTTCCTCGATGAAAGTCGCCTCCGCTTGCCTCATGTTCATCTGGGGACGCAGGCGGTGGGGCAGGGGTACGTCTCACCACGGCTTCCGTGGTGCTAAGTCCGGCCGGCCGGCGGTTTCAGTCCCGATCTTCTAGGTTTGGGACTAGTGTTGGAAGCTCTCGGCTGTCCCCTCCGTTCTAACGTGCCCAGGCCTGCGGCTTTCCTAGTCCTTCCGGCCCTCCGTTCTCCTCTCTGGACGCCTCTCCCACCTGGCCCCTGGGGGTGCTGCCTTCTGCAACTGCAGCCTCGGCTCAGGGACCCCGTTTCTCTCTGTAGCCTGGGCCCCCCGCTGCCTCAGCCGGCTCCACTGACAGCTCACTGGAGTGATGCCCCAGTCTAAAAAGGAAGTCAGCATCTTCCCCCAGCCCCGTCTCTTCCCGAGTGTCCTGCTTTGGCGGCTAAATCTATCATCCCTCCACACCTGCCCTTGCGTCCTGCACGCTGCCCTCCCCACCCCCGTCCGCATCTGACTTGGCCCCACACGTCATCGGGTGACCTTTAGAGGCTTTGGGTTCCCAGTGATGACCAGGCGCCCAGCTCTACCGCTGGTCTGTTCCATGCAACCAGGATCTGGACTCTGCTCACCCTTAGCCTCTGCAGCCAGAGCATGGCCGTTTTTGAAACGCAAATTTCTCCTCCCAGAGCTCCAGGTTGGGTGGGGGGCCAGCACCTAGCCCCCCCCCCCCCCCCCGCCCCACTGCCTCCACTGGTTCAAAGGCTCCCTTCCTCTGCACCTGCTCTGTTCCAGCCAGCCGTGCCTCCTTTGGCCCCGTTATGCCCCAGGACCTTGGTTGTCCTTCGTCCTCTAGGGTTGGGACCGCTCGGTTATATGCAGAGCCCTACTTGAGCACTGCCTCCCTTAGCAGCTAAGGGCCCCCCAGTGGCCCCACATCACGCACTCGTCTCTGCAGCACGGCCCAGTGGTTGTGTGACATTTCTTCATGGACCGCTGATGGTTCCATCAGGAGGAGGATGCACGCCTGACTTACAAGGGCTTCCAGGAGGCCTTGGTGCAGACCTGGTGAATGGATGGCCTCTGCCTGCACCGGGCTAACTCTCTCCCTCCTGTGTCTACCTCTTGGCTTCCATGCCCAGGGGCGACTCTTTCTGTCCAGGGGCCTAGTGTGTGAGCAGAGCAGGCCAGTGAGGTGGCTGCTGGGTCCCTCCAGTGATGGTGGGCAGCGCAGGCTGTGAGTGTCCCTGCAGACCCTGGGCCAGACGGGTCAGAGACAGGGACCTGCGGGATCCCCAGGCCTGGGACTTGAGCTCACCTTGACCTCATCTGTAATCATCATGGCATCCTGGGACATGACGGTCATGTCTGACAGTTCTGAGCAGTAGTCACCCACGAGATTCTGCAGCTTGTCCAGCTCTGTGGGGTAGCTGGCCAGTTCCTGCATCGAAAGGGGCGGGAGCAGGTGGGCACAGAAACCGATGGCCCCGGGGCTCCAGGCCAAGCAGACGCTGCCCCTCATTCCTTACCCCAGACAGTGTGGGCCCTGGGGACACTGGAGGGTCCGGCCTGGGGCCCCAGCCCCCACCAGGCACAGAGCAGGGAAAGCACCGTTTCAGGAGGGCAGACGGCATTTCCCTGGTGGGCCTTCCCACTGCCCAGGACACTCAGACACACTTCCAAGGAGGCTGTGATGGGGGTGTGGCACCGGGTGAGCGGTGACTGTGCCCCACCCCGGGGGAGCCTGCGGCTGGGGAGTGGCTGCTGTCTGAAGCATAGCAGAGGGGCTCGAAACGCGGACGTGGGGTCAGAGACTAGGGCTCAAGGCCAAGGCTGCCCTGACCAGCGGGCTAGGGGGACTTGGGAAAGCCACTTCACTTCTGAGTGTGCCCACCTATTGATAATTGGTTCTTTCACAAGGCTGCTGTCAGAATCTATATGTAATGAAGTATTAAGCTCAGAGCCAGGCTCGTATATATCTAATTTATCTTAAAAAAAAATTTTTTTTTTAATGTTTATTTATTTTTGATGGAGACAGAGACAGAATGTGAGTGGGTTGGGGCAGAGAGAGAGGGAGGCACAGAATCTGAAGCAGGCTCCAGGCTCCAGGCTCCGAGCTGTCAGCACAGAGCCTGACGCGGGGCTCAAACTCATGAGCTGTGAGATCATGACCTGAGCTGAAGTCGGACGCTCAACCGACTGAGCCACCCAGGCGCCCCAATATCTAATATATCTTGACCCTTAGTCGTTTGTTGTTAATAACTACATAATGTAGAATTTCCCTAGTTTTTTAAAAAAATACAGATGACCCCAGGAGTTATTTTTAAAAACTGCGTATGTTCTGAAAAGAACATTTCCCCCGGGGGACATAATTGGTCACATGAAGGAGGTCTGGACCCCAGGTAACAGCCGGAGTGGGGTGGTGGGCCCAGGAAGGTGAGGTGTGCAGGGCCTCGGCTGAGTCTAGCAACAGGGGGCTGAGGCAAGAGGGTCAGGCAGGAGGACCGTGACACCTGCCTGTGCAGCTTGGGCAGAGCCTGGGGGGCTGCGACCCCAGCCAGGAAGAGTGCCGGTGTCTGCCCATCCCACCACATCTCTACCTGCCACCTGGCTCGCTGCGCTGCCCTCCAGGACTCCCCCTGCCCCAGCCCTGGGGTGAGGGAGTGTGGACAACTTCCTCGTTCTCCCTGTGCCCCTCAGGGCCCCCACCGTCCAGCCCTCCCATCTTCTGGTCCTCTTCCTCCCCATGAAGAGGCCTTGCCTCCCGGTGGGACTTGTGGCCCCCTGGGGGCCTCCTCCAGGCCTCCTCTGCTGGGGGCAGGGCGGCTGGCTTAAAAGAGCTGGGCAGCAAGCTCCAGGTTACTGGCCTGCCGTCTGTGAAGTCCCTCTGGGATGAGGGACCTTCTGAAGGCTCAGGGCCCATCTTTTGCCCTCGGAGGCCAGGCAACGATAAAGGATGGGGCAAGATAAAAACCGAACCACCAAGTACGTGCAAGAAAACCCAAACAATTCTGATGTGTCCCATAATATGCCTTTTTGAAACAGCAAATTACACGTTCTCGATGGAATGTTTTCCACCTACAGGTGCAGGGTGTCCCTGCTCAGCTGGGGCCTCAAGCAGGGCTCTGTCCCAGAGGCAAACCGGCCTGGAGGAGAGTTGCAGCCCCCTCCCCACGGGAGGGGGTGGTGGTGGCAGGGGTGGCCCTGCCCCGGAGGCTGAGGTCCCCACTGAGATCCTAGCCTTGCGTGCAGGCTGGGGCCTGACACTCCCGCCCTCCGGGCCAGATGACCTCCCTGGGCTGAGGTGTGGGGCGAGGGGGCTCACTTTCTTCAGATAATCCAGCAGGTCCACGTACAGCAGGTAGATGTTCTGGCTCGCGGTGATCTTGGTCACGGTCTTTTCAATGTTGTTCTCCAGCTGGCGGAGGACCTGGGGGTCGCCCGAGGGCACACGGTGCTTTGGGACAGACCGCGTGGATGCCCACCTGGAGGCCGACCGGGGAGGCTGCGCTTTCTTCCAGGGAGGGTTTGCCCGTGTGGCTTTCTCCCAGCCCCGCCGTGCAACGGAGTCCCATCCGTCTCTCCCGGGGCCCCGCCTCCCGGAGGAGCTTCGCCCCTCCCACCGGAGGCCCCGCCCCGCCCGCCACCTGCCGCAGGCGCTGCTCCTCCTTGGTGTGGTCGGGCTGCCTCCGCAAACTAGCCAGCTCCAGCTTCATGCTCTCCAGCTTCTGCTCCCGCCGTCGCACCAGGTGGATCAGTACGTTGTGCACGTTCACGCGGTCGAAGACGTACTTTCGCAGCTTCTCCCGCGCCACCTGGGTCGGGGAGGGCACGGCCCGCGCGTGGGTGCGCAAGGGGCCGCGGGGACCGCGCACAGCGGGGCTGGCGGGGCGGGACCCCCGGGATTGGGAACTCGCTCTGCCCGCCACCGGCTCCGCAACGTGGTTTAGTGGTGGTGGTCGGGGTGGGGGGGGGGGCGGTGCGCTGGCCGGGCGAGGCCGAGGGATCCCTCCTGCCACCTTACCTCCATGGAGCAGCGGCAGTGTGCCAACCTCATGGGCACGTCCTTCCCGCAGGCCCTGGAGATGGTCTGCTGGTCATACTGCAGAGAGGTGGTGGCTGAGCTGGGACCCCGGTCTCCCTGTGTACCCCCAGCCACCAGTCCCTCCCTCCAGGCATTCTCCCCGGGCCTCTCTAGCCTGTGCTAGCCCAGCAGCGAGGGCCCATCCAGGCTATCCCAGCTCAGAAGTGATGGGAGTCAGGAGAAGAGGACCCAGGTCTCCCCTACATGGCCAGAGAGCCAGAGGGGCCCCTGCTGTAGGGGGAGCCCAGGAAAAGCTCCCCATCAGGCCCACCCTGCCATCTGGGGTGGGCGGTGGGGAACCTGCCCATCGGGCTTGCTGGAGTGACAGGTCCTGGGGAGCCCCTCCCCAAGATGCCCCCTGGCTCCTGAGAGGTAAGAGCAGGAAAAGGGGGAGGTCCTTGTTGTCCCCTTGTGTGTGGGCCTGTTTCAGCATGTGCCCGTCCCCAGCCCGTGGTCAGCAGGGAGGGGGAGCAGGGCTGCTCACCTTCTTGGCCAAAGCCCAGTCCTGGGCCCCACGGCGGATGGTGCTGTGCAGGAGAGCCAGCGTGGCTCTGTTCTTGACCGTCTTCTCCTTTACTGCCTGGATCTGCAGTGCCCGGCATTGCTCTGGTGGGGGGAGGGGAGGGGCACGGAGATGCTCCTTCCTGCCCCCACTCGAGGGCCACAGGCTTCACTGCCCAGCAGTGCTTATCTGGATGGCCCTTAGTGATGGCTGTGCTGCGCAGTGGGGGACGTGAGGTGGCAGCCAGAGGGGGGCGCGTCCTGTGATCCCTTCCAGACCCAATGGCCAGAGAACGTCCCCTCTGGCTTTGGGGCTCACTGTGCTCACAAATCTCCGTGAAGCCCCCTGCATGGCAGCCCCTTTTGCCCCCCCCCCCCAGGTCTGTTGGGGGGGGGGGTGGCCGCTAGCCCTTGTTTGCCCTGGACCGGCCCTGTGTTAGATCTGAAAGCCCTTGGGCCCTGCATGGGGCCAGGCAGGCTGGTCCATTGCGGGGGGGGGGGGGGGGGGGGGACGGGGGGGGCTCACCCTGGAGCCGAGTGATTGTCTTCAGCTCCTGGATCTGCCCCTCCACATCTGCCTCGCTGCATGCCTTCATGGTGGCCGTCAGGGTCCTCCAGGCCCCCGTGCAGCTCCCGCCCTCCCTGTCCTGGGCCTGTTCAACAGAGCCACAAGCAGTTCACGTCCCCGGAATCTCAGCCCATTGTGATGGGGGCCGAGATTCTCAACCACGGGGCCCTGGAGATCCCGGCCCACCCTGCCCCCTTTCTGTGCCCCCCGCCAGCCTTGGGGTTGCCCCCTGCATGCTCGGGTCAGCTGCTGTCTGCTCAGGAGCACTGCTGGGGTCAAGGCACTTTCCATAAGGAAGTGATTTGTGGTGATTTGACACGGCACACCATGCCAGCCCCCTGTACCCTCCCCATCCCCTCCATACCCCAAGGCTGTCCTCCGCTGAGCCTCCTAAAACCTCTAATCTCTGCCTTATGCGATCTCCATTTCTTCACCCCACCCCAAGCTCAGATTCCACACCCCGGGCAACCTGGCTCACGAGACCTCAGCTGTCAGCCCTGACGACCTCACCCCGCCCTGACCTCCACCTGCTGCCTGGAGCCCGCCCTGCTCCACCTCCATGTTCCTGGGGCAATTCCCGGGTCTAGTTTCGGATGCTGCTTACTCCAGGCGGGGTCATGTGCAACCCAAGCTTCCCGTGGGGTTAAGCGCTCCGAACACCTGCCAGCCTGGGACCCTGAGGGAGGCACACCGGATGGGTTGCTTTTTCCAGCGGCGCCGCATGGATTTGCAGGGGCCGCCACAGCCAAGTGGCAGGTGGCTGAAACAATGGCAATTGCTCGTCTCACATCCTGGAGGCCAGGTGTTAGCAGAGCTGGCTCCTCCTCGGCTTGTAGGCGGTCATCTTCTCGCTGTGTCCCCACATGGCCGTCCCTCCGTGCGTGTCTGTGACCTCCTCTCCTAACAGGGACACAGGCCGGAGTGGATCAGGGCCCACTTCGTTTCAACACAACCATTTCTTTAAAGGCCTGATCTCCAAGTGCAGTCATGTTCTGAGGTCCTGGGGGTTAGGGGTCCAACATGTAAATCCGGGGACCCCACTCATGACCACAGCCTTCACTCAGATATTGTCACGTGCAGGTCCTCCACGACCTCACACAAGGACCTTTTCGGCTTTCTGGTCATTGCCAGTTTTTTTTTTTTTCTTTTTTTTTTTACACATTTATTTATTTTTGAGAAACAGAGTGAGACAGTGTGAGTGGGGGAGGGGCAGAGAGAGAAGGAGACACAGAATCCGAAGGAGGCTCCAGGCTCTGAGCAAGCGGTCAGCACAGAGCCTGATGTGGGGCTCAAACCCATCAACCGCGAGATCATGACCTGAGCCGAAGTCGGACGCTCAACCGACGGAGCCACCCAGGCGCCCCAAGTCATTGCCAGTTTTTAAAAGGGGAGTCCAGACCCATTTAAAACTCCAAGCTCAGCTTCTGCCCTCCCTCTGAGACCTCGGGGGGTTGGAAGGACCCGTCAAGGGCCTGGTCTGCTCCCTACAGTGCCAATTCTGCCCCCTGTTCTCCCAGGGCCTGAGGCCAGGCTGCTCACTGTCCCTCAATATTATTGGTTCTCCCTTCTTCTGCAGATGTACACCCTCTGAATTTTAGTGGGGCACGTGGTGGCCCAGAGCAAGGCTGTCCCCCTAGGCGCCTTGGCACCAGGGATATCGTGGGACTCTGTTTTGGCCAATGGAGTGTAAGCACAAGTGGGAGGGAGCTGTCCTCCTCCCCAGGGACTGGAACTAGCACCGCTGTCACCGTCTCGGACCACGAGGTGGGTCTGGAATAGAGGCCGTCACAGCAGGGAGCGGGCCAAACGGAGCCCGGGCCCCTGACGGCCTGTGGGTCCCGGACCACCCACTTGGACATGAAAGAAAACTCAAACCCCGGCCTGCTCCCCCCGTGGTTATCCCGGGCTTCCCGTCATTGTGCCTTCCCGCTAACAGATTCCCTGCTGCACAGTAGGTGCACAATATTCTTTCGAACGACTGACTAGGCCGAGAGGTACGGGAGCTGAGCCGGGGCTGGGGCGGCGTGGCCCTGTGCCTGTGTGTCCTCAGCGTTACTGGGAAGGTGGACTTGCCCAGGTTTTATGTGATCTCTGCCTCTTCCTCTGCTGGGGGTGGGTGGGGTGTGTCATCTTACACACTCCAGAACTTGCCTGCCAAGCGGACCGAGCTTCTGCAAGCTAGCTCTGGCCTGCCCCCACCCCTCGCTTCCTCCTCCCCTGGAGAGAAGGACGGAATCTGATAGGTGGGTTTGGAATGGCAGGCAGGCAGGCACAGCCGCTTCCTGCCCCTCGTCTCTTGGGAGTCAGGCGCTGATTGGCCCAACACCTTCTGCTCTGCCCCTCCGGGACTGGTTGTGTGGAAGTGGGTCCCATAGGACAAGGCCGTGGTGGTGGCCTTCCAGTGCCCGCAGGGCCCGATTCTGGGGCTCAGTGTTAGGAACTGCCCTGGCAGGTCCTCCCGTGTATGATGCGAAGGTGACATCTGTCTCTCATCTTGCTGCTTTGACGTGCTTCCCGATGGCTGCAGAACTCAGGTTGGAGAAGGGCAAGGCATTTATTTGTCCAGCGACCCCCAGGAGCAGCTGTCACCTCTGACTGTGGGGGACGCCGGGGCCAGACAGGGAGTGTCAGAGCACCAGAGCATGCAGATGGCCCTTCCGCCAAGTGCCCAGAGCCTCTCTGACCCTCTGCAGCTCTCGGTGGCCACCGTGTTTCTCACTGCCCTATGGGAGCCAACCACCATAGGGGACAGCCCCTCTGGTCTGACCTCCTGGGCCGGCGTGGAAGCAGTTTGCACAGGTTTGGCAGATCTGGCCACGCCTGTGTGCAGGGGACACCCGCTGGGTCACCTTAGGGTGTGGGGAGGGTCTTTGTGGGGGGAGAGGGCCAGTTTGGGGTGCAGACGCCCTGAGGGCTGTGTTCCGGAAGTCTTTGGCCCAGGTCTTCTGCGCCCCAGCTGGAGCTCTCCTAGCTGCGCCGATCTGTAGGAGATTAAGGGAGCTGGCTAGAACCGCACCCGAAGCTGCTGACCAGGCCTGAGATCAGTCAGCTTGGTGTCTGGCCACTCTTCTTGGGGTGCCCACACTCCTCATTCTGCACTCCCCCCCACCTCAGGGCCC